TTGATGAAGAAAACTCGTTTTATTTGAAATACTTATTCTATGTGCTATCTGTGATGATTAGTTGCTCTGAAACATCCAAAAAAGTGGAGTCGGATTTACATTCAACCTACGCTCGACACCTTTAGTGGCATGCTCTTGTGCTGTTCCAGATGCGCTGTTTTGTCTATGGAACTATTTCAGCAGCTCCGGAGCCGCTAAAGGCACGAATTATCGTGCTCGAAAAGGAACTTCAAACGTCTGCTCATTTTTCCAGTACCAGAACTGCACCACCAAACTCGTACGTTGACCATTTCTGAAGCATTAGCATATGTTGCATGATTATATAGCGGAGAGAAAGTAGCAGAGACGAGTAAAGGAGCAGAGTAGTTGCCTAGTGAAGGATGTTCATGCGGAAACATCTCCCTACACTCATTATCCTTATCATAAATTATTGAATAGAGTGCGGGACGATGGGTAAGAAGAGTGAACCGATTAGAAGAAGTTTACAGAATGATAATTTTGCCATTATTTTCTGAAGGATCTAGACTATCGAAGTATAAATGATAAGCATAGTTCGAAATGTGCTTGGAAATCGGTTGAAGACGCCGGTGTGAAAGGATCTTGGCAAAAAGAGGCGTACATCACCAGCTCGACGCCCAGAGCAGTGTGGTCGGTTTTTTTTGTGCATTTGGAAGGTTGCTCAGTTAGAGTTGTGCTTACGGGATGGGTGGGATGAGTGAAGGAGCACATATTCTCTAATTCAGTTATAACTTGCTATTATCTCAGAAAGGTTCCTTTCAGTTTAATATATGAACTTGTAGATTGTGTTCAGTTTTTTTTTATTCTGCTTATGTTACTTTCATCTTAGTCATTCTGATTGGAAGGAATCGCACTGTAACCCGGTATATGTATATGTGGTTCCCTACTCCCTCCCTCTCTCTTCCTCCCTCCCCCTTTCTCATTCTCTTTCTTTTTCACTTTTCTTCCTCCCGCTCTTTCTAGATTACGTTGCATGAATTGCTTGTGAGCCAGGATGCATGCTTCTTCAGCCTCTTGTATATCTCTTTTTCCCCAATCATAATAGATCTTTCTTGCCTAAATATTGGCTCTGAAATGACTCCTGTTACTTTTCCGGAAACTTGTCCTGCTGAACTCCTTCATTTCCGCCACTACCCAACGCCCTTCATCAGCGTCGAAGCTGAACCTATGTAAGGCGACGTACCATTTGGCACAGAGCTAATGGTTAATAATATGATGAAGGTTGCATTCTATCTGTCAATCCTCACTTGACTTTCATAACGAAGAGCTCCGGTCAGCCCTTTGGAAGTGTTCTTCTAACAGGCACCTTCACTTCTTGCATTTTTTTTTNTTTTTTTTTCACATGTGTGAAATTTCCCTTTTTTCTTTAATATGATGTATCTATCCTTTCTAGTAGTGTATCATAAATTTGCATAAAAGTGGTGGCTAGTGCTCCTCAACTCACAGAAGGTCTCATTTTAAATCTATCGATATATCGAGTATCTGGTGTAAGAGGATAAAGCAAGTGCGCATCGGTCAGAGTGGCTATTTCTATCTCGTCGATTCCAATTATATAGTTAAACTTGGTGATTTCGTTAGCATTCGATTATTTAAATTGTAGTGTCTCTATATTTTTTGTTCAAGTTCGTTCCGGCTTCCTTGCCTGAAAGACGCGTGGGGGCAGCCAATTCCTTCAGAACTAAGGGTCAGACAGGAAGACTTCCTTAAGGTCAGTTCATAAAATACGTTTTTATTCAATAGGAAATTGTCAAATTCGTTGTTTAATTTGGGACTGCAATGGACGGTGCAGGATGATTACATTTACTAAAGAAAGGTTGTCGTCTGGGTGAGAAGGCGGGAATATTTCTTATGCGACTGTTAGGAGGGGCGACTAGGGTAGGTGACATGTCAAATTCAAGGCTCTTTCTCGAGCTCTAAGTATTCTAACAAATGCTGATACAGAACTTCCTCAGTTATAAATACTGTTGCGCACCATCACAGTTAGTACTGTTTGTATAACTTTGAGGGTACTTTGCAGCGTTTTTTTTCTAATAGCAATAGAATTTCCGATTCTTTTCGTACTAACACGTTATGACCACCCTTCATTTTCTAATTTAATTTGGGATTTTCGAATACTCGTTTTGTGATGATTCTTTATATAAATGTTGCAACGTTCATAATTTAAGCAATGCTCGCCCAGATTAGTAATGTGTGTCATCAATGTGCTGTACGACTGTTCTGAGTATTGTACTGCCTTGGCATTTGAACTCCTTTTCAGCAAAAACACCAGCGGTATCGAGACGGGAGCGCAATCTGGAAAATGGGGGAGCTAGCTGCCCCGCTAGAGGGCGTCCAGGTAGATTTTTTTGCTTTCGAAAATCTCCCATTGAGAATTATGAATCTAACTATATTTTCAGGAAATGCCAGTGGTCTCACCTCTAGAAAAGACGCAGCTGCAGATGATGAGGCTCCTTCAAATGAATAAAGATAGGATAAATGAACAGGAGAAGGTGGTGCTCGATCAACTTGAGCTGCGGTATAGGGATTGTATGGTGTGTTGCTGATGTACTATCATTCAAGAATACGCTCATTTTTATTTGATTATTGATACAGTTTCAGAATGAATCCGCTGAGTCGCAAATCTTCACCCATACAACCACGAGCTTTTCTTCGATCACCGATTTTGATGTGAAGGGTCAGCGTTTGCTATCTGGTACGACCCATGTTAAAGAAGAAGGTGAGCTAAAAAAGCATAGGTTATAGCTTTACAATTATTCGCCATTGATTACATTTGTATTCATTTCTAGAGGATACCAAAACTGTGAAATATGAGAACGATGGTTCTCCTCCACTGGGCGAGTTGCCTTGTACGTACAGGTTCGTCATCTTTTAGTTACTTGACATACTAACTCACAATCAGTTTGGATGATGTTTACGTTCCTAGTCCTATTCATTCGACCTATATAGATCCGACTTTTCAAGTCCCATCATAGCATGGAGTGGATATTGATTTTTATGGTTAGCTGCTACTTTATCGGCGCACCTATAACCAAAAAATTCATGTCCTGCTTTTCTGACTTTATCTAGCGTATCCTCCGCAACTGCTGTAGTAAAATTAAATAAACACCTTTGAATTTGGCTCATTTCTAGCAAACCATTTATCAAGTCGATTCTGTAGGCAAGTGAACTCAGCAATCTAATTGCTTTTGACATTATGCATACCCTTGTCGATAGCTGCTTTCCACACTGCCTAACGGTTTCCGTCGTGCGTCCTGTTACACGAAGAAAGTTATTCCGAATTATATAAATTATCTGATAGTGCATTAACTTTATTCAATTCCGTTCCAAAATTTTGTTTTTTTCTCGTTGCACTTATTCATACCATCTGAGCGACTACGCTATTGCGTGTATCACATTACCACAACCGTTTATCCACAATCTTGCTCAAAAGGGGCAAAATAACCTTTCTCACGCTCCGTACCCCTCATCGCGAAATATACATGGTAAAGCTTCACACAAAATTCTGTTTATGTTTCATCCCTGGAAGTCGTAGTCGAAGTAGTGGACGGTCCAACCCGCGAGCAGGCATCCCCTCAGGTTACGCAACATGTGTGTAGAAAGAAAACTGTTCTGTGTTGTAAGTTCGAGGTAAGAAACAGTCTCCATGTCGCGGAGAGGGAGCGCTATCGTGGTCCAAAATTTAAGGCGTCCTACGCAACCCGAAATTACTTCGCCTCTCACAGGTTGTTATATCATACGAGACGGAGAGGGCTCGGCCCAGTGTGCGGGTTACTGAGGCTGTCGGAACGTAATACTTAGACGTAGTCTACATGGATTTATTGTGAACAACTTAACGCGTGTTATTGTGAACAACTTAACGCGTGAAGTACGAATTCAACCACGATCCCAAACGGACGTGCAGGGAGGACGCAAGCAATGAGGCCATCCCTCCAATTCGCGCCTCTGCCTGACCAAGTTTCAAACACAAAGCAGCATGCCGGGCAAGATACACTTCTGCATAATTGAACTTGCATGAAAACTGAAAATTGAAAAAAGCAGAGTCATTTTCATTTCAAAAACTGGTGGTGATGGTTAGAACAGGATGCGCCCACACGCCGCCTGTTCACTTTCACACCGTTGAGATGGTAGGACATCAGGAGGAAAGCGCAGAATCTTCATTAAGAATGCATAAAATTTTTAGAACATCTTATGTCGATTTTTTAGCCTTTTGGCTCCTCTTCTGGTACCGTTGGACATCTCGTCTTCCGAGCTTATGGAGATGTGTTCCAAGCGTATCGACCGTCCCGCTGAGTTTGCTCCAATATTTTGTGAGAAAGTGCCTCCACCCCAACCGCCTGATGCTCCCATCGTCAAAATATCTGTGAGTTTTGCTGTCATCAATTTTGCTGTATCTTTTTTCCGAATATTTATATATATACAGTAGAGGCCAGAAGTCTTCGGTGAAATGGTTCTTCAGCCGTACTTTTCAGTCGTAACTCCTTTCCTACTGGATCTAATCATGCGAAATTTCTATATTTTGAGCGTGTGTGTTTTGTTAATATTTACTACTATTAACTTGCAATCCGATAATGTTCTAGATATTCCAAAGAGCATGAACTCAAAATCGACTAAAAATACAGTTGATGGCCCTTCTAGCATCTCTTTCCTTTTTGTCATGTCTAAAGTGTACGAGCGGTAATGCCGACCACAATAGATGAGAAAAACACACATAAGGTGAATAAGTGCAGACGTCAACGACTTTAGTTTTAGCAAAATCTGCTATCGCAACAAACGCCTTGCTCTATCTGTGGATATTGCAGCTTCGCAGTCAAATAGTGTTGGGTAGGGTGAAATATGCTCTAGTTAAACATATCCAAATTTCGTGCGATTCGGTCTACTAAGAAAAAAGTTATGAACGAAAAAGCGTCAAAGCATTCCACCGAAGACTTTTGGCCGCTACTGTATATGTAAGTGGTAATCTAATAAATTGATGAATTCAATAGCCTGCCTCGCCTGGTCGAACCTCTGCCCTTCTACGACCAACTCCTCTTGTTGTTGTGGAATCAAGAAAAGATGCTCAAGCGCCGGAACTGCAGAGGTTTTCATTGCTAAAAATTTGGAAATCCAAATTTTCTCGATTGAATGAATAAGTGTTCAAATTTAAATGTTGGGTTGACTCTGCATTCATTCCAAAAAAGTGAATGCAATCCTGTTAATTACTTTCGCAGTATCGAGTGCTAAATTCCAGGAGATCGCATGATCCCTTTGAGAAATCCTAGTATAATATTGACTCCAAGTTTAATCTTCCTCTCTACAGTTTTTTAAAGATAAGATCTACAGCTTTTCATTTTATCCCTAAAAAGTGATATTTAAATAATCTGATTTCAAACCACAGTGGTCCAGGTTCTGTGAAAGTTCTCCGATCGCGCTCATACGAGGTCTGACTGGAGTTCTGAAAATGGATCTCAGCCTATTTTCCACGAAAACACTCCTGGAGATGGCCCCTGATCATGAAGTAGAGGTTGGTTGTCACTCATTTTGATGCACATTGGTTTATGGATTTCATGGATTACCATGTGCCATGCACCTTAAAATTCTCGTCTAGGTGCGCACGCAGTACAGGATGCCATGTGATATGAATATCGACCATTTGGGTCAACCAACTTGGGAGTGCATGAGCACACGGTCGTTCACAACCGTTATGAAATATGCACAATATCAAGCTGAAACTTTCAAGCACTCATTGAAAGGTAATCTTACTAACATGCCCGAACTCACCAGTTCTCATATAAGCGTATAAGCGGCACTCAATTTCGTATTTATAAAAACTAGCATCGTCTCACCGCAAAATGATGGCAACATCTGGCTTGCCATTGAGCACTTTTACCTAAAGGCAAGGTTCATGATAAAAATGGCTACTGAGTTCTCCCCCTAGGAATACTCAGTGGCCCCCAAGAGTAACAGGAAAGGCGCTGTCGAATCGAAAAGCTCAGCAGCTAAGGCATAGTGGGAGCCCCGCTACCGGATCGCCCAGACTTCCCGCGCAATTATTAGGTCAGTCGAGTCGATGTTAGACGAGTGTCGAACAGATTGCAATATTCGCTCTAGGACCCACACACAATCAGCTGATTGCCAGGTTATGAGGCGATGTTTTTCTGTACTCCTTCATTGTCTATTATTATTTTTGCTGCTGTAATCCCTTTTTTAATTATCCCTCTTAAAAGGCTAAAAAGAAGTGGGCTATTTTTGTTGTTACTAAGGTTTTTTCGTTAACTTATGCTTACAAGTGAATAAATTTTCGCTTACCGTAGTCAGCTATTCGCACCAGGTCCCACACGTACGCAATTATTAGGTTGACCGGAAAGTTTCCCGCCATGAAAGTTGGTGAGGAACTCAACGGCCGAGCTTTGCGACTTTACCAATCTTCTCCAGCCCAGATTCAACAGTTGATTGGGCATGGCCGACATCGCTGCAAGTTCCCTGGTAGTGACGTACGGATCCTCTTCCACGGTGGATTGCAGCAACTTCAAGTCTAACTCCATCGGCCGGCCGGACTTTGGAGCATCTTGGAGAGAAAAATCTCCTTTCTTGAACTTGGCCAACCAGGTCTTGCATGTGTCGTAAGAGATAGCGTCAGCGCCAGATGTATCCACTATCTTGGCTTGGACTTGCTTTGCGTTTAAAGGCACGGTTCACGATAAAGAAGATTACTGAGTTCTTCCCTCAGGAACACTCAGCGCTCCCCATGGGTGGTAGAAGGGACCCTCTCGTTCCCACAATCTGGGCGCTTAGGGCATATTGGAAGCCCCGTTGCTGCCGTAGTTCGCTTTCCCGCCACTCGATCGGTGTCACGTTAGACGAGCGTCGAGACAATACAGATTGCTATTATTCGTTCTAGGACCCACGCACAATCAGCTAATCGCCGAGTGATGAGGCGATATTTTTCTCCCATTCTTTTTTCCTCTATTTTTNTTTCGCTTTCCCGCCACTCGATCGGTGTCACGTTAGACGAGCGTCGAGACAATACAGATTGCTATTATTCGTTCTAGGACCCACGCACAATCAGCTAATCGCCGAGTGATGAGGCGATATTTTTCTCCCATTCTTTTTTCCTCTATTTTTCTTTTTGTTGCCGCGATCCCTTATTTAATTTCCTACTCCTAGAGGCTGAAAAAGGTGAGCTACTTTTGCTGTCACTATGGTTTTTTGTTTATTTATGCTTATGAGTGAATTTTTGCTTACCATTGGCTGTTGTTCGCACCAGGACCCACACGTGTGCAGTGAAGCACACTGTTTACCTCGTCCGGACGCCCCACTCTTCTTCATTTTTCTGGTTTCATTCTCGTCCAGCCCCCTATCAACGGTTTTTCGAAGCATTTTTCTATTTGGAAGCACCGATGCGCGCAGTTTCTTCACCTCAGTCGCACTAATTTCGATCTTGTCTTCCATTTTTCATCATAATCTGGATTACCCAAAATTATCGTGAACTGTGCCTTTAAGCCAGGCTGATGAAGGAAAATAAGGGAGTAGTGCCTCAAGTGCATCCTGTTGGGTTGAAACTTGGGCGGCATTTTGGAACCCAAATGCAAGCTGGGTAAGTGTGAGGTAGTGATGTGAAAGAGTCCTTGCGTGCTCCATGCACACCCACGATAAGTCATAAACATACATGCAAGGCTAATATGGTGCTATCAAACACGTGGCGGGAAACTTTCCTGTCAGCCTAATACATACATTGTGTAGCTCGTCCAAACGCCCCATTCTTCATTTTCCCACTGTCATTCTCGTACGGCCCCCTTTTTACCAATTTTTCGAGGCCTTTTTCACTTTTGGAACACCGATTCACACAGTTTCACCGCCTACATCACAATTTTCTTCCATCTCATCTTCTATTCTTCGTCATAATTTGGATTACCCAAGATTATTGTGAACTGCGACTTTAATATTCTATCAGTTTACCTTTCAGATCGACCGGCTGTTTCTTTTTTAATGTCAAAATTGGTCTCCCACCTGCATCCTATTCCGGTTTTTACACTGTTATTCAGGAGTACAGGAATTATTGATTTTTGGACACACACACGCACACACATACACACATACACAGGTACACATACACATACACACATACACGCATACACATATATACCTACACGTACACGTACATTTACACATACAAACACTTATGCACAAGTACCGAAGTATGCACGCACACTCAAGTACACACCTTCAATGGGTTATTAAAAAAAAGCGCAAATGCGGTTTTTGGTAATATGTTGCAACAAGCCTTGGAAACATAATTGGAAATTTTGATTTAAACATGAAAAACTTTCCTCGGATGAAACAGCAAAGCGTTTGCATGGTAGAGTGGACGGGGTGCGAAGTGAGGGAAATAGGCGGTGACCCAAACACAAACGAAATTTAGAACGGCATGTTAGTTTTACAGTAATCGTGGTTATAGGACGTGGCTCGAACAAGTGCGCGTGACGCAATGACAGTCCTCTAGCTACTGATGAGTTCGTGCGAGTTCTTTCAATAGGGACATCTTAAGTCCAAGGTTTCCGAAACTCGTTCAACAACGGTACAGGATTTGAAAGTTCGGATCGAACAAGAGTTCGTGCGACAACACCGGCGATGCTAAGATGTGACATTGAGAATTTCAGTATGAGATCCACATAGTTTTGGAAATGATGGTCACCTTCTTACTCGAGTCATATTCAAAAATAAGCATTCGAAATGTTGGATTGTGTAAGTTTGAATGTTTGATGTTTCACTTGAAACTTCCTTATATGATCTTAAGATCTGTTGCAATATATAGCTGAAAACCGTTTCTGCATGTGTATTTATACTTAGAATCGTTCGGTTTGGCTGGTTTCAATTTGCAGTGCCCTTAGCGTCCCCATTGTCTTTGATAGATACTCTCATTCAAAGGCTTATTCAATTTTTTTAGAAGAAGCTGAGAAATTGCGCTCCGCTGGTGCTAAGTATGCTCAGCATGTAGCTGAATCATCAGGTGTCAAGAGAAGAAGAGGTGCAAGTTTCCGAATTCTCGTAGCTTTCTTAAATATGATCTCGCGAAGTGAGTTTTTTTTTTCCTGTAATCAGAATTTCGTAAAGGATTGAATGGCGATGAATGCGCTATGCCCATGAAAATGCTCAAGTTCGGCACGAATGTTGACCTCTCTGATGACACCAAATGGAAGGCCCAAATTCAAGTAAGATCAGTCCATTATCTCGCTCGGCGTCATTTTACTGACTCGGTTTTTAGGAGCTTGCAAAAATGCCTCCATTTTGTCGCATTATTGCTGGTTGCAATATGCTCTCGCATCTTGGCCATACAGTTCTTGGGATGAACACCACTCAGCTATACATGAAGGTGAGTGTGTGAGTATACACGAACGACGCTGTTAAATCTTTTCGTTTCTTTATATACCGTTGTATATATGGTTTTTCCCCCAGGATTAGGGATCTCAGTTCGAGGAATCGATCTATTACTGAACATTCAATAACCAAGAATATACCCTAGAATTAAAAGTCGAATGACAGCCTAATTATTAAAAGCCTCTTCGGTATTCATCCTTTCCTAGAACGATTTTCCAGAAAGTATCAGGAGAAAGTAAGGAGAAAGTAGGCGGTTGTCAGAGGTGTTATTTGTAAAAGGTTTCGACTAATTTTTTTTNTTTTTTTTATCACTTTCTAGAACCTTTCCCAGGGCCACTCGGAAGGATTTCGTCATAGGATATGGTAGACCGTTTCCGAGCTTGTACTTTAGGAGATATATAAGCATGCCCTTGTAAGTGTTTGGCAATTATTACTTCAGTCTTCAACTGCTGTCCAAAGCTGTCTGAAAGCTATCATCTATAACAAATTTCGATATGGCCATTGTCCATCGACGGCTGTCGCAAATATCTGTAATGCGTTCAGAGGAGACATCCTGTTTCAAAGCACGAGTGCCTCATGACGAGCTACCTCCAAGGCAGCCGAGAAGTGGAATGCGCCTTAAGAACGTTTCACTGTGTCGTTTATAGGTTTACCAGGAAATGCTCTACTTTCACTTGATGTTTTTGCCCCGTCCGAGACTGAAGTTTTGTTCATAGATCGCCAACCTTGTGAGGCTCTACTTTCAATCAATTCCTGAGGGTTCCGCAGTGACCGCCGAGATTCACGCTTCTGAGCTGCAGAGTCCGGCCAACGTTATTCGAAGAAAGCGTTCGCAGCGAGACAGTGCTTGTCTTCCTCACGACAATGTTCGATCGCGTGTTACAAAACTGTCTCGTCAGAATATTTCCGAACACGCATGGGAAGTGCTGCTCCATCCTCCTCATTGTTGCATCAGATTTTGCTCTGTTCGATTGCCATTTGTTTCTTGCTCTGGAACATCGTCTCCGCGGTAGAAAATTTGATGATCGTTCGAAATTCTTAGTTAAGGTTTCCAACTTCTTCGGGTCGCGGCCGTCGCAGTTCTGGGCTTCAAAAATCGAAAAAGTGCCGCACGTTGGACATATGCGTAGACCACGATGGGGACTATATAACTAATTAATGTCCCTTTTTTATTGAAAACAGTTTTTGAAATAAGGATGGAAAGTAGATCAAAACTTGCCACTCAACCTAATATTTACAGATTATGTATGGAGGGTGCAGGATAGGGTGGATGGGGTGTAGTGGCATGCGGTCCTCTGGTAACCCATTAACGACCGCGTAGCCCGCTGGCGGGCTACACCATATCGTGCTTCTATGGTATTTATATTGTTTATCAAGTGTTCTTATAATTTTTTCATGTTTTCAAATGTCAGCTGAGCGCACAGCCTTCTAGAGAATCTTGAGGCACTGTGGTCCAGAAATCATTCATATCCAACTACAGTTATAAGAGAAATTAAAAGTTAATGTAAGGACATTATAAAAGGCGCGGTCGCCAATGGGTTAAACACGCATTGTTTGGAAATCGAATGCCGTGTCGATATTCATTAAGGGAAACCAAGCCGTCGATCCTTCCTTGGTTGCTCCAAAATTGGCAATCATCTTTGTAGGCTTACGGAGGGTGCGGGAGTCACATCCGAGCTGCATCAGCGTGGCACATCAAACGATATGCGATCTGGCAAGGTCGGTCATCAGTGCCACATTTTTTCAGTTTACCCTCTTTCGTAGTCGCAGTTTCTCTTACACTTGCGCATTTTTTCGCAATAGAACTCCGGCATCTTTGTATGACGCAGTTCATGATCTCTGTATTGAATCATTCATGCCGCCGGAAGAACTGCAAACAGGGAGCGAAGTTATTCTTGAATAAAACCCAGGCTCCGCAGTCTTTCGAGGCAATTCGTTTTCATCTATCCACTCGCATTGTTTTTGGTCCCTTAAGCGGAATCGACGTCTTATCGCGGTCCAAGAACGTCCATTTTTTCTGCATTGTAGAAGCGATGCACGCACATATCAGTGCTTTGCCAACAATTTGTTGGATTGTGAAGAACCAATGAAAGAAAACTATTCTATCCCTCTTCGTGCATGAAAATCAGCACCGCTACTTTGGGAAGCCCTATAAATCTGATGTTTATGAGTTAGATGACTCTTTGAAAAAGTGGTAGAGAAATAGTAGACTTGCACTCACACTTATTGCTAATTCTTTCGAGGAATCTTCTCTCCCACAAACGCGACTCCGAGACAGTGCGCCATGTTTGGTTCCGTGTCTTCAGGCGTAAGCAGGCATACCAATCACGCGCATTCCTTCTTGGGTAACGTTTCCCTACTTAAACCAACAGAATTTAGACTGGTTTCGACGTTTTAATCCTAACTTCGAAGTGCTACAGTTATAAGAATCGAGTACTGTGGTTTTCTTTTTTTCAATGACTAACTGGAGTCAAGAACAATTATGCTAGCTTTAAGGACTTTTGTACACGGAAATAAGAGCCACCTGAAAACTCGCCTCAACATATGAAAAGAAGTTCGAGTATAAATTACAGGCATTTTCGATTGGCCTCTTGCACAGCCTACGGCACAGCGCTTGTTCGAAGGCTTGATACATCCTACCAACTGGTTCCGTCCCCTTTTACTGGTGCAATTCTAGAATTCTACTTATGTGAGGATGTTACAATTTAGAGATGAAATGTCAGCCTTTTTTGTCGTCGAATACTTGTGACTGAAATCTAACTCACGAAATTTGGTTTTTTCAAATGTTGTCCCGTTCTTTCAAAACTGATCCAATTAAGACTTATTTTGTTTGCTTTATCTCTGCTTCACTTCATAGATTTTTCGCCCGAATTTCTAGGTTCCTGGTTCCCGTACGCCTGCTCATCAAGAAAACAATTGTTTTGCTTCAATAAATATCAACGTTGGTCCTGGTGACTGCGAGTGGTTCGGATGCCCATATGAATACTGGGGTGTTATCGATAGGATGTGTAGAGAGTGAGTGATTTTCAGTTTTTTTTACATGCAAGTAAAAGGAATTTCAAAGCGTCAAATCGGTAAATGAAACTGGAGTTCAAAAAAGGTGACTGCTATTTATTAAAAGCCTTACATATGATTATGATGAATCATCCACTTCTTTCACACTCGAGATCGCTTTATTGTGCTAAAAGGTCATTCGCGATAGGAATGGTTTCTCTAAAAGGTCATTCGCGGTAATAATGTTTTCTAAGCTTTTCTATTGAGAACGGCTCAAAGATCGACAACAGTCCTGGCACATGGCAATAATTGAAAGCAATAGGCATATTGCAATCAACCTTTTCCGAAATACGCTGAGCAGAAATCCTGTTCAAACAGCTTTTTCGTCGTGACCCGTGATGATCCGTACACTGCCAAAACTTAACAGGTACAGGAAGCCTTATACCTCGTAAACTTTGCGAGTCTTGTCGCTGTACCACTGTATTCTGCACCAAAGCCGTCGTCCTTGATCTTGAAAAAGATCACCTCAAAATTAGCGTAAAATGTGCCTTCAAGTTATCAATGCAAGTGCATCATTCCCCCATTCTCACGCCACCTTATCGTCTTATTCAAAATCCCATGTCCGGTAGCACTGTAAAAAAATTGCACTTGATTATTCATTTTCCTATTTTTCACTATCGTTAATCCTTTGACAACCATGGCACCCACCGGTTGGTGCCGCTATGACTAGCGCATGGGACCACGGCACCCAATGTTGGATGCCACCATGTTTTTTTCTTTTATTAGCGCATTTAGAACTTACTTAATATTTCCATATTTTTTGCCAAACTTCATGGTATTTATATTCATCACGGTCCACGTGGATGTTTTATTGGGGCTTATTTATTACAAACATGTCTAGTCAATGCAGTAGTATTGAAAAGGTTTAGATACTTCGGCAAAATTTACGTGTCCTAGAAGCATTGGAGGCAGTACTTAGAATACCTGATATGCGACTATTGACCGCGCGGTCGATCTCTTCACTCTCAACTTTCTTGGATGTTATACGACTTCCTACTGCTTACTCTATTACCAAAAATCTAACCTATATTGCTTCCGATTCCGATGTGCAATTCTAAGCCTCACTTTCATATAAGATGAAATAAGTTCTGGTGCTTCTATTATGCGGAAATTTTGCTAAGTTTATTAAACTAGAGAAAGGAGTTCTTCCTGGGACCATGGCACCCACCTGTGGGTGCCAGTCGCGCATGAAAGAGAAGGGTCGTGGTCCCAGGGCACGTCACGCCGCAATCGGCACTGTCGTCAAAGGGTTCATTTTCAGCCTTGTAAGAGTTGCTTAATCTTTGAATCAGTCCTTTGCGCAACCCAATACTCGACTTTTTGAAAATTGTTGCGCATAAATGTTGGGGACCTTTGTGCATCCGGGATATATGATCGCAAATGAAGCCTGGAAAACGTGTTAGATGTGGGATGTCCTAACATTTCCGATATGTGACTATTCTATCAGGTGTTCGGAAAGGAATGCGCATTTGACATCAAAAAATTTTTTATTACAAAAACGAAACTAAACAAGATCAATTCAAAAGATATTCTCCATTACTACCAATGACTTGTTGCCTACGTTTACGCAAAGAATGGATTCTTCTTCTGAAAAAATCGCCCGGCTGCAACTCAAAGTAGTTGAACACCCTGAGTTGGACTTTTTCGCGGTTTTTGAATTTTCTCCCGGCCAAAAAGTGCTGCATTGACCGGAATAGATGGTAATCGGATGGTGCGAGATCTGGGATGTATGGCGGATGAGGCAGTACTTCCCAGCCCGATTCCTCAATTTTTTTCCAAGGTGTTTTTCGCATCATGTGGACGAGCGTTGTAGAGGAGGAAATTGGTCGACGTCGTTTCGACACCTTAACGACGCAATGCTTGATCCACGCGGTTCAACTGATCTTCGTAAATGTCCGCCGCAACTGTTTGACCCGAATTCAGGACTTCAAACTACACTCAACCTTTGCTGTTCACCCAAACACAGAGCACCACCTGCCGTGTATATCCGTTTCGAAGTGGGTTTTGGAGTGTCACCGACGTCTAACCACCGTCTTTTCCGTGATGTGTTGTCGAAACAGATCAATTTTTTATTAGAAGTAACAATAGAGTTGAATAAACCACTGTTCTCTGAGCGACGAAGAAGGATTCCTGCCATTGCCACTCGTGTTGTCTCGTTGGCGTCGCTCAGCTGGTGCGGCGCCCATTTTCCGCACCTGTTCGTCTTCCCAATCGCCAGCAACTGCTCATGGATGGTAGAATTTGAGCAGCCAAAATGTATTGCCAGCTCTCGGGTGGTTTGGTGTGGATCCAATTTAATGACGGTCTTCAAAACTTGGTTATCGACGAATTGAGGTCGACTTCCATGTTCTTCGTCCTCCAAGCTTTTATTACCGCTTTAGAAACGCTGATACCATCGTCGACACTGGCTTTCTGACAGGGCTTCTTCACTGTATACTTCAGACATGGCACGATGAGATTCAGCAGCCGATTTTCCTTGCTTGAAGTTGTAACACATGGAAGCCCGCAAAAGGAATTTTTGGTCAAGCACCTTTTAAACTTTTTTTCAGGAAAAACAAAGTAGACATAGCCAAAAATATATCAATAGACGCGCAATGAAAATCTCTTTCTAATAGACTAAATTGTTTTCAAAAATCTATTATAGTAGAGGAGAAATGAATGGACAAATTCAACGCGCATTCCTTTCCGAACAGCCTAATATTTACGGCCGCAACCCACAATTAGGTCTACCAATATTATAAAAGGGGTATCATTTTTTGAGCAATCGAACTCACTTAATGCAGTGCGATCTTGCAGCGAAGTTTATACCAAACAATTATCTATGCTTCTCACTGAGTGAAGTATTTAATCTTTCGAATATGAACATATTGCTTCGATCGCATTGAATTTATGATATTATGTAGCGACTTGTTCGTTGCAACGACTTGCTGTAAGTTCCCAGAAGCTAGCGTAGGTTTCATGCAAATGAAAGTAGTGAAAGATAGACGTCGAAAAATGCCCGGCGTACCTGACAAGCCGATTCACAATAGTATGGTTGAGAAACTGTAAAGAGATTCGAGTTCCGGTTTATAGCGTGAATTTTCTGCTGGAAGTTTTTTTTTTCCTGTGATAGATACCAAAGGAGACTTGGACTGCGCATAGTGTTTATATCGAATGTATTTGTATTCTATTGTACCGCTTTCAGCGATTAGGAGCGCTTCTTCCCATGCTGTTGTATTTCGATTGGGAGTCTGTGCGTATATCACTTTTTCAGGCGAAATCTTGACTTTTTGAAAGGATCATTCTGGCCAAATTTTGAAGATCTGGTTGAGGAAGGTGTACCAGTCTACAGGTATGCATCCACTTTTCTCTGATAGGTGATGAGAGTTTGTCAGAGAGGTTCTGGATAGAGACCAAATATTCACGCCTGAAGATTTTCAGATTTACCCAAAAAGCAGGCGATCTCGTATGGGTTGGAGGCGGATGTGTTCATTGGGTGCAGGCCACTGGCTGGTGCAATAATATCGCCTGGAATGTTGGCCCATTGACTGCTTCACAGCTGCAGATTTCCATCTTCAGTTATGAGTGGAATAAACTGCAGGTGATTTCAATTTCCTTAGGACTCCCTTGCGGTTTTTAGGTTTTTTTTTCCAGATTAAGGCTTTGATAGAGCAGAGATGGTGAAAAATTGATTTGAGTAGAAGCGAATGTGATGTAAGCAGAGTATCTCTAAAATGTTGGATGTTATGTAAACAAACCTCCGTGTTCGCTTTCTCCTGATCTAGCCTTTTGTTGCTAGTGAGTGTCAAACACTTCCGGGCCGAACAGATTTTTTGATGGTGCAAATTTCTTTTCACGCGGCTTTCCAAGGAGCTCATCGTTTTCAAAGGCATGAAAACATATCGAAATGTAAGTCAATTCCACCAACATTGAGCCCTTACTCAACTTTGGAGATAAGGTGCCGACTGTGACTGTGATAGTCTTATTAATACTGACGACAATGTCGTCCACATGTGGGCTACAATTTTTTGGCCTCGTGGGACCGTGTAAGCCAAATACGCACTGCAGTTGTATTTTTTGTTTTATTTAGGTATATTTTCACATCTTTCGATTTTTCTCCTCGGAACATTAGATCAGACCTACGTGAAACTACCTGCGTACTGCGTGGTACTAGAGAATCTTCTAACTCCTGCAACATCAAGGGTTATATTCATGTTGTTTATAAGAATAATAAAAAAGTAGCTGTGACCTTTACTGCAACGAGAATATGCTCCTCTTGTGTGGGATGACGCGTGCAGACATCCAAGTGATTGGATGAAATACGAATAGCAATTCGAGCATCTCCTTCTTGTTTTAGCTTCAGGAAGTTTTACTCCCTTCAATTCATGCCTCAATGACGGAGTGGGGGTAGAGCAAGAAACTTTGAATGTCAATAGTGACTCGACAGTTTTTTCTAGAAGTTCTTTTAGTTTTCCTGTTTACCCTTGTAGAGCGCATTGACAGTTGCCGTTTGGATGATCAGTTGAGAATATATTTTTTCTACCACATGCATGTCTTCCTTACGAATGAATTAACGTGGTCATTTGATCCGATTGATCAGCAAATGCTTCCATAGTATTGTAGTTGTTCACTACCACTTGTTCCATGTTTGTTCCAGTGCTGGCATCGTTCTTTGTAGAGATCAACAAAATGCCCCGCTTGTCTTTACTTTTCTTTATTTCCGTGCCCGCTTTTTGCCATGGTTCGGTTTTGGCTTTATAAAACAAAATTCAAAAATTCAAATTCAGGAACTACTGAATATGAAGTTCAGGAACTACCGTTTTTATGTGGGTCGTTTCCAGTGTAGACTTCGATTTTTCGAAGTACCGCCTTCCACTTTGAGTTGTAATAATTTGGTACAGCCGATAATAACAATGCCTTTTTGAAGAAATATACCGCTCGACATGAGTTCTCTTCTCGAAGAAACAAGTGACGTATCGGTACAGAGCTTTGCTAACTTTATGGTACTTCATGCATTGTGAATTGAAAAACTTCAAAAAACTGAGATATCTGTACTTTCATCTATATTTTCTTTGCTAGAGGATCACGAAACGGTTTTATAGTAGGCCTAAAGTATCCTTTATGCGTTTATTTTTTGTACTGTATGTACGCGGCACTGGGCATTCGGGCGAACTATACAATGTGGGTCCTGGTGCGAACAGCTGACCTGAGCTGAACAGCAAAATTATTCACTCATAAGCATAAGTTAGCAAAAAACCCTAGCAGCAGCAAAAATAGCCCACCTTTTTCAGGCTTTTGAGGTAGAAAATTAGGGATTGCAGCAGTAAAAGATTAAGAGAGAATAGAAGAATAGGAGAAAAGCATCGCCTCATTACTTGGCGATCAGCTATTGTGAGTGGATCTTTTTTATATCGTGAACCGTGCCTTCAAGAAGCGGCCTTAGTCAGCTGAGGCTTTCAAAAACATGGAACTATGTTTCGGGATGGTGACTCATTTGTTTTGGAGCCTAATGGATACCATATTATATTTAAGGGCTTCGCTGCGGAAATATCCGTGTACCACAGTAAGTGTCAAATTCGCTTTACTCTATTTTTGCAGATGAGCTAGAAAACTTCCGATATTCAAAGTTTGGGGCATTCTCCATTTCATAGAGTGACCGTAAATTCTAGATTGCAAATGTTTCACACATGTGATCTTGAACCGTGGTATACGTTGTTCCCAATTCGACACCTCAACTTACATTTACTTTTTGAAGAATTACTAGCAAATAAGTTTTTCAGAGCTACAAGTCACTTGTACCAATGCAGCATTTGTGTTGGCAGTTGGCCAAGAATATACGCTTCACGAACCAGAAGGTCTTCACTCTAATAAGGGGTCAACTAATCAGATCGCTGTCGTTCTGTAAAATGGTTGCGAATCTCTCCACATCTCGTGGAAAACAGCTGAAGCCACAGCCGCGCGCTAAAGGGGAAATCACGCACTACTGTACATTGTGTGAGGTATGCTTTGATTGCTCGCAGGTAGTTGTTGTTAATGTGGCCATGTACAATTCTCATTTCAGGTTGAAGTTTTCAATATACTGTTTGTGAAAGAACTTAATGGTAAATTTCCGGTGTACTGCGTTTACTGTGCAAGGCGGTTAGTTTTTGTCCTCTCACAAGTTCAGGATCCAAGGTCACTTTATTCTTGCCTTCGATCTTGCCTCTCGTCCCCTAGTGGACCAGCAATGTATAATTCTCTTTAACAACTCAACTGTATCTACATATACATGCATAAGAAGGCTATGCTGTAGGTGTGGTTGGGACAGCAGGGCGAATAAGCAACAGGAAGGAAGCTATTGCTACTTCCTTGTGCTCTTTTCTCATCTGGGGAAAAATGTATAAGGAACTTGTTCTTGCGTCACCGATTTCCCCGTAAGAAAGCTCAGCTTCGTGGCGGAGCCTTTGTTTCAGAAGTGGTAGCTGAACATGGCTTATCCTTTTTGGCAATGTTTCGGTGCTTTGCCTTTGATTGTTTCCGGGTGACCAGTTGCAGTTTCACGTTATAAGCTCAAATCACTCCATGATATAGAATGGTTTCAGAGCGGGACTCGATGATTTTATTGTACTACAGCAGTTGACTTTCCATGATCTTGCGAAAATTTTCGATAATATGCAAATGAATTTGATTCATAAAGCTGCCCTCGTATGTTAATTGTTCGAACGGTTATATCCGCAGTGGACGCATACAACAAATCTTTACGTTTTCGAGCCGTTTTGGATTGTCTTTCGATAGCGTAAGTATGTTCAAGCTTGTCTAAGCCCATCATTCTCCGACCTGCCTGTACGTAAATTCTTTCGTCTCCTTTACTGCCTCTAATAAGTCATACAGGTTTGACTGTTCTAAGTTAACCTGGAAATTGTATCTCTATTTGGCGGGTGATTTTTATACTCGCCAGCAAGTTTTTATTGTTGTTTGTCTTTCAGCGTTTGTTTTATTCCATCATAATTCTAGAAAATTCACTCTACTGTAATTAGTATGGATCTTATTGTGATCACTTCATTTCTTTGTTACGATCAGAACGTTTGCTGCTGACGTGCAGAATTTACTTGTTAAACCTACCTGTTTTATTTATTCTCATTGTAAATAATAAGTCAACTTTTAATTATTGGCTCAGTATTTCTTTACATGAACATTGTCGAATTGCTTTTATGACTTTTGATCCTCCTCGATTTACCACCTAGTGGTATTGAGCGTGCTTGGGCTAACTAGAAAAGTTCATGTCTGCTCCATTCAGTGGACCATATTTACTGTATCATTGGTTTGTGCATTTTCTGTACAATTTCTTTATATGCGCATTGTTGTTGAACGTTTTCTTCATCCGTCTGTAAGAGCCAATTTCTGTATTGTTTAATAGTCATGCAGACTTCTCAGATCTCTTTCTGATCGAATAGCAGTATTCACATTAAAGCATGTTGAAAGGTCTTGTTGTCTTGAAGTGAAGTGATTCCACTGTTGGCAAAACTTGAATTCGTATAATGCTTCGTTGTACCAGTGGATATCAAAGTAATTTTTCATCGTGTTTGTTACTCGATATAAGGGTGATTCTTCNTTCTTCAATTTCCCACGTCATGGCCCCCATGTAATGGTTTCGAAAAAATGCATACTCTCAAGATGGTTCAGAAAAATGCGCTTTATTGCAGCTTAACAAACTAAATCCAATAGTAACAAGCGAGGTGGATGATTAAGCTTAACCCGAGATAAGTTCGGTATATTCGTCAAAATTTCACGTAATGTTCACATGTCCAATGTCCGTTTTGGTTCGGTTCATTTTCTGGTTCATCCTCTATTTCGGAGATGTTTTGAGAAAACGGTCTTTTTGCGGAATTTTTTGAAATTTTAAAGCGGAGATCGTAATGAGGCAATCTAATTCTTTCTCTCAAAACGGATGGAGTGCATAAGATTCGGAGCTCGACCCTTGACGCGTTGAATCTGAAACTGGTGCGTGTGTCATGTTTTTAGTGGTAAACTTCCTCGAAATAGTCATGTGGGGGACTAATACAGAAAATTTTGAAAATTCTTCTTAGGTTCTGAGGTTCTCTTTGATCAAGTCTCTTTACGGCTTTCACCGCGACGTCTTCTAGTCGTTTGTCTTAAGTTTTGATACCTATTGCCTTTATTATCGAATGACCTTGCGGCCTTTTCAGTATGTATCCATACCCCTCACACCTTTTGATGAGCTTCAGATGTTTGCAGCATAGCTGCTGCTGCCGTGCCGTCATTTCACGGAATTCCAGCATTGAGAGCTTCCATGCTCGTTCAAGCTATCAATAGTTGATTTGTGGTTTTTAAAAGGAGATTTTTAGAGCTGCGCGTGCTGGTGGTGAAACGAGACTATTCATATGGCTTTATGTCACATAATTTTTCTGTCCCAACTAAAATTCCAATAATACATAGCAAAGGATGTAAAACCTATACAAAATTACATCGCGGGAATTTGCAAAAGACACGTTCGAAATCATACAAGTTTCACAGCGATTTGACTGAGCCGCTATTAATTACAATACATGACCTCATCACAGATATTGCTTATACAAGATGTAGAATGAACTTAACAACATAATTAGTAACATCTACAAGGAAACAGGAGCAATGATCATCTTAATTATGATGAAAATGAGTATAAATTAGACGTTGTTGTTAGCAGCATGAGGCACAAATTTAGAAATGAAGATGTGTTGTGATGTCAGAAATACCACTCAACATCGGAAAGTATCTTTGAGGGAAAGAGCAACAATGATGATGAGGACCGATTCTCTTCCTTCATGAGGATATTACTGATGTTCGTAAATTGAGTTATTCGTTGCGTGTAATCAGAGAATTGTATTACCCACACTATAAACACTCCGTGCAGGAGAGTCAGGCTACTGCGTTTGTGGTGGATTTCTCCCTGCCTTCCGGCGGGCTCCGAGGTTGCTACCGTATCGGAAAATTCAAACCTCTCCCTTCAAAGCGCGCTATCGGGTGCGGCCGCAAAGGTACCACAACCGTCTCACTATAGCACTGTGCTTTCTGGTGCCCTGTGAGTAATAGACGAACTGATTCGAGGAACAGCTTATATACGCGATGCACAATTTTAGTTAAACCTAGAAATTGGGTTGTGCATTTGTAGCCCGTTTCCAATATAGAACTGTACCTTCTGGTGCTTTACGAGTTCATATTAGCAATGATTCGATGAAAAGCACATATACGCGATGCACAATTTAGTTCAACCTAGAAATTTCACAAAAATTTGAAATTGAAGTTGAATTAAATAGGAAAGTGCTCTTGAGAACATCTCTGATGAAAAAAAGTTCCAAATATTATTTATGCGTATTAGCAATAACATTTAGGGGGAAGAAACCTAGTTCCGCAAGGAGGCATAGATTTGTGTTCTAACTCGTAGAAAATAAATCCTTCTAGCTACTAATAGGGTGTCATGCGTCATAGTCTTTTATCTCTTTATGTTTTGCAATCGCGAAGAAAATCACAACTCCACAAAGTATTACACGAGATATGCAAACCAGCCCGTTTGTAAGACTGCTAGACGCATTTGGACCACTTGCGCCGCCACTCGCCTACCGTAATCGACGTCTCTTTTTAAATAATTTTTTGGTTCTCCCGACGACTGCGGATATCCAGGTTAGTTTATCCTGGTA